AAAACACAACACCTCTTTCAAATGTTGTCTCTGGCGCGCGCAAAAAAAGACATGATCAAATATATTGCACAATATGTGAATATCCAGGAAGTTGTTCTTTCCTTGAGGCTTGCATGATATATGTTTATACATTTGCATGTTCTAATCTTTCAACCTCTGATGATTCCAGTAGTAGTTCGATCACCTGCACTTACACATTTTGCTGAAGTTCTACTTTGAGTGCATGCTTTTACGCCTGGGCGGCTCCCCTGGAAGAGTCTCAAGAGCAATTCTGGAGGATGCCCTCTGATATGTTCATTCCATCCCCAAACATGATTCACTTCGGAAAGGGTACCCCACTTTCCCGACCCCGCCTGATGCAGGAGGCCCACCTCTGCCTCACCTGGTGCTGGCCGAGGATGGAGACTTGCCACCCAAAGAGCACGAGAGCTGTGTTGCGGCATCGTGTGTTAGGCTTGAGGCATGGCAAAGGACTTGGATTAGTTGGGTGTTGAATGATTTTACTTTGGCAAATTGTAGACTTTGCACAGCACATGTATATGCATCACAAGCATCACGTGACCATGACAACCAAGTCGAAATAAGGACTGTGTCACCTTACAAAACATCGCGTTGGGATTAGGAAATACTGTAGAAGCTTCAGCCGGCCCAATGGCATGCATCCAAATCCATGCTAGAAACGACAGGGATTCCGGAACACAGTGGTTTGGCGAAAGAAACTTCTCTCACAGTCCACTGTTGCTTGGCATCGGCTTCATCAACTCATCGAACTTGACCAAAACGGATCAGGGAGATCCATGTCCTGCATGGATGGGCATCCAATTGCATAGTTGACGGTGACATATGGTGGCATCAAACTCTTCTTTTGCCTTGTTGGTGAGATTCTACGAGCATTCAGTCCAATGTCACTGGCATCTGCTTGGCAAATGCTGTGACAGTCGACTCCAATGTGACAAGGACTTGCAAAAAAAGACTGGGGTCTCAGTCTCTGGTCCTGAGAGCAGAGTAAATCAGAATCAATTCTGCTTCTTCGACCAAAACTGAACATCATTTCGCCGAAAAAACCTAAGCAGCATACTCAGATTTGAGTTAACTAACACATTTTTACACAATTTTTAGCGTCCTCTGCGCAAAACGGTGTTTTCAGGACTGGCGCTCATTTCGAAAAAGCTCCGGACGACAAGCTCGTGAGACCCCAGTCCGTGGTGCAATGGTCCACAGAGCTGCTGGGAGGCATCCGACCGACTCGAGGTCGTCCAGACTCTGATCGCCAAAGTAGATGAAGCTTTTTGGGTGGAAGAGTGGGACAAAGTCCCAGTGTATCCGGGACTATTTCGCTCTTCAAACGACCTAATGGATGGATTCAATGGATGGAGCAAAACGGACTCACTAAGACGTCTTGTGTTCCAAGGGGCTATCACTCCCTAGCAGCGATTTGGTAGAGTAGAAGAAGCTTGGGCACCTGACACCAACCTTTCGCGCTAGGCTGCCGAGCTTGTGCTTGTTCATGGGAAACTCTACTGATGTTTATTGGTGTTCCATGTCCATTTCATCGAACTCCGAGAATATCAAAACAATATGGTTTCTACACGCTAGGGGGATGTCCGGATGGCATGATGTTTGCTTCAGATGGCTCCCCAAAGTCAGCCACTGTCCGCCACACCCCTCCCCCGCGCATCGCTGTTCACGTGCCAGGGTCCAAGCGGGAGGTGTCATTTCAGCAAGAACGGTGCTTGGATTTGGTGGCCACAAAGACCAGAAATGGCTTGTGAGTGTGGAAGCAGGTGAAAGGTTGAAAATACGCCAAGATCAAGTTGGCTGCCTACATCAGGTGCCTGAAACAATTGCATCGGCGACGCAGTGAAGATCTCCCAAAAAACGTTTGAGATAAACGTCTTCTCGAAGCGTTGCCCATGAGGCTGAACGCGCACCTTCACCTTCCACACATTTCCAGTGTTGCGAATCTGGGCAAATGCACCTGGACGAGTGAGCCCTCTGCAGTCAACAAAGAGCTCTGGCTGTCCCGGCGTTCCCCAGTAGTGTGGATCAAAACCGACGTGAGTATAGACAGTGGTCCTCCACGGCATGTAGCATTGTTGTTACAACTCGTGAATTGAATCATAAAATTCTGACCCACGCCTCGATCTACGCTGCCAAAAGGATCTGCCGCCTTTGTGATTGGCTCTATCTCGTTGAGATTCTTTCCAACTTTTCAATGGCCCTTTGAGATTTTTCAGCCCTGCGAGATTCGATGAACTGCCACGTCTGCCTCTGAGAAGTCTGCATCTCCTGACGCCCGGATTCAAGATGATCCAAGAATTCCAAGAACCATGGATGGCAATGGTCAACAACCAAACAGGTTAGGGCCTGGGTCCGCTGGATTCTGAAATATGGTGATGGTGGACTTGTATAGCAATCATATCATAAGGTAAGCCTTCACTTTACTGGTAATATCTTGTGATAATATCTTATGATAACCTCCCATATGTGTCATAGGTGAATTTCAACTCGGCCCAACCGCACATGTCTGAATCACAAGAACACATTGGGTTGGAGCCTACTGTAAGGCTGTAAGTAGTTTCACCAAGCAAGGAATTGAAAGCCACCCTTGCCACGGTAGAGAATGCCCATATACGTGCATATTTTTACATGTGATTATATGTATATATATATATACATACGTGTGTGTGTGATTGTATATGTATTTGTAGAATTTTGTAGAAGTGGAATCAAAGACCAGGAGCTCATCATATTCTCAGCTTGCTTGAGGGAGCGAAGTCATGAGAGTATGGCAAACTTCTGCAGAAACAGAGGCCCGCATCTCACACTGAATGACCCCTGAAGATGTTTCACAATGGGAATGGCACATACAGGAAAGGAGCAGCTGTTGAACTGCTTACATCTTGAGACATAAAAAATACAAACCCATACCATCGCGATCGCAGCGCCCCCTGACCCTACCAACATCATCTCAGGATAAAACACATTTGCACTCTGCAAGGAGAGCATATAGCATGAGTAACCGCGTGTTTCATGGGCACACATCAAAACATCAGTGATGACGAGGATCTTCCATCTGCTTCCTCGGCAGGTGATGGGAGACAATGTTGACAAAGCCATTGACCAACCCATGATCAGGAAAAAAAAAACAAACATGTTTAGAGTTCGAGTCTGAAAATACACAGAGGCTGAATGGAGCAACCAAAGGATTGATCACGCCAAACATGTCCCTTCACTTTGGAATGACTTGCCGCCTATTCAATGGATCAAAGGACATGAGGCGACGTGTGCGCCGGCTACACCATGTTCATCTCATAACCCGAAGTGAATAGGCTTTGCATGCCATCTCGGAAAAACCTCTGACATCTCTTTGCCATGGCTCTAGATTTCTCATGAGTGTAGTTTGTCCACTTTGGGGTTCCAGTTCAGTTGTCAGGTGGTTCATGTTAGCGAATCCGTGGATAGGAGCCTAACTTAAACCCCCAAATTACAATGTTTATGGATGTTTATGTAGTAGTAGTCGTCGCCGCCGTCGTCGTCGTAGTAGTTCAAGAAGGCTAATAATTGTATATAATTAGGGGTCTTCGACATGAGTTATTGTTTTTAAATTTGCTGGTGTTTGTGTTAAACGGCGCTCGGGTTTGGAAGCTGACTCCGACGGCTTGAAGGCATTGTTTTTACTCCCCTTGAGGTGAACTCGGTCCTAAAACCAAGGATAGACTCTGGTCCAGTCCACAGTCCTGCCCTGTTTGGGCGAACCAAACACCGCAGGAACGCCCCACAGTCAACACCGTTCTGAGGGCGGTCAAGGGGCGCCAAGGTGGATTGTTTCTTCTGCAAGCTCTCCAATGCCATCTGGGTGATCACTATGTCCACCTTATTGAGGTCCCCACGAAGTCTCATCAAGCCAGACCTGCCGGGAGCCCAAATGGAGCAGCAAGCGTCAGCAACCAAAGGGCTCAAGCTCGAGTTCCTTGCACCACAAGGTTTGCACAGCCAATTTGCGGAGCGCAAAGGGGGGCAGTGAATGAGGCGTACCACAAGCTTGACGACGTCCAAAACTCATATAAACCAATTACAGAGTGTACCTGGTCCCCTGCTTGGGCACCTCCTACAACCAACCTACCCAAAGAAAGTGATTAGGGATGTCTAGATATGTCTAGTGAACCACCTCTGGCACGGTGGGTCCACCCATGCACAGCTTCAAGTTAATTCATTTCAGCCGGTCATCTCCGGATGTGGCTCAAACCTAAGGCACACCGTACGCGGTCCCGTACTCCACCACCTGCACCACCTGCGTAGGCGACTGCCGTAACAGAAGACCCAGGCGCCCCGACACGATTTCAGAGAGCGACACCGTGCCGCTCTTCTCATCCTCGGGTGCACGTCGGAGAAAGGGCCACCGCCCGTCAGTCGCATGGTGCTAGGCTCCCAAGGTAGTCCCACCGAAGAACGATCACATGGAGAGGTGGAAACACAGGCCCGAAGTAAGCCAGTTTCCTTTGCCAAAGGCACTATTAAATGGGTCTAGGGGAAGATGGTGACACAGTGACGAAACCACTTGAACAGGGTCAGGACAACATTCGGGTCAGGAAAGCGCGGCCTTCCTGCTGCACACAGAGCATGACCACGGTCTCGTGATCCCTCTGCATGCGTATGATGGACAGGTTGGCCCTTCATTTTTCGTATAAGCAGCCATTGGACTTCCAAGGCAGACATTGTTGCCTGAACTCTTTGGGCGTTCGCGCGACGCTTGGGTGGCAGGACTGCCGAACAAGCCTGCCTGGTATCACCAGCCCCTCGGATCCACCCATTGGCCCCTGATTGGTGTAGCTTTCTACCGCCCTGAGGATGTACTGGCATTAGTTTCACAGTTGCCTTCAGAAACTACCCCCAAATCTTCCGAAATGTTTTTTCAACCACCTGCACCTGCATGCACTGCATGCACAAATGGCGAAGTTCTTCGCACATCTGGGCACTCTCTTTGGAACATCCTCAGCGGAAACTCCCCATTTCTCCAGGGCGCCAAGTTGAAGGCATCGAACACGCCCGGCCGTGGCTCCACAACCCTTGGCACGGGGAGAAGTCATGAGCCGAAGACCCAGCGTCAGGGGACCCTGAAATGGTCACAGGGTCAGGGCCGGTTAGGTCTAGAGACTTTGGTTCTTCCGGGACGGGGACGGTTGATATGTCTGTAGATGGATATCAAGCATCAATACAACGTGACAATACAACTGGGAAAGCACCATCTTGCTCACCAATGGGTGATCACAAAGGTGCACAAAGCAACCTCAAACCGACCATTGAGCGAATTCAGTGAGAGGTTCAGAATGGATCATCCAAATCTCTCCGCTCATGTGACTCATGTGTCGCGAAATCACC